CAACAACATTTGTCTCAAGGCACTTTATTTCGCATTTTAAAGACTCCACTTTATTAGAGAGAAAATTCTAGTTAAAGTGACCTCCAGACACGGGGAAGTGCAGCCGCTGGGGAGGGTGTAAACACTTGTACATGAGTGGAAAGAGAAGAACAAAGAAGATAAAACAAACTGCAGTAGGGAAGACAGATGTTAATTAGAAGCACGGTGTAATTTAAATGAATGGATGCATGGAAAGAAATGAATTTCTCCAGGAGCTTGAGCCTAAATCTGCATAACTACAGAGTGGTTTAGATTTAGTCTCTGTGTCCAGCTTCAGCTATAAATATAAGATTTATCAAAAAGGGGAGTTTGAAGACTGAATGTAAACTCGGGGACCTGGGGGACTGTCAGCTGAAGTGTGAAGAAAGGTGTTTAGGTTACTCATAAAGCAGGGGGCATCTGGATTTGAACCAGAGACTGATCTTGATCTGCAGCTAAATGCTCTACCCCTGAGCTACACCCCCCTGCACTAATCTGCCAAGCGAGTGCATCCATTCACTGTAAGGCACTAGTTTGGCATCATGACCCTTAAGGTTGTGTCCTGTCCTGCCTTTCACCTTATCTACCCATCCCCACACCAATGGGATTTCAGAAACATATTTAAGATACAATTTCTGTCAACATACCCTTTAGTCACACACATCACGAAGAGTCTGCTGTGTGGTTATGGCCAGCGATGATGTCTCTATAGTTATAACCAGAGATTTATAAGACCTCCATTCCAAGCCTGACTTTAATAGGAGGTCAGGTATAATCTCACCTGAGCCCTCATGACATGTCAAAATGATATATATATTTTTGGTTGTGTTGGAGGCCAGAATTTAACCTGCTATATATATTTATATTTTTTTTTAATCTTCTCCTTTGTCACTGCAGACGGGGAGCTGGTTATAAATAGTTGAAGAGTGCAGACAGCAGCAGAATTAAAAGCAGCAGAAAAGAAAGCTTGTTCAAAGGCAAAACCGATTCTGATCCCTGTTTTTGGCAGAGGACAAAAGGACTGAGTGGAGATCAGGTTACTGCCATGTGACCCTGAGGAATCTCAATGCTGCACTCCTGCTGATTAAACATTACACTGAAAAACAAGCTGTAGACATACAATAGTTAGTTATTGTACAGAAAAAGAGGGGGGAAAGCTGCTCCCTGGTAGATCAGCAAGCTACTGTGGAATAAAAGCAAACTGGGGGGGAAAATGAAGCAAAATGAAGTAAATGGTCACTAAAAAAAAAAAACCTTTGCCAACTTCCTGTAAGATAGTGACAGGACTTTAGATACAAAGGTAGAGGAGATTATCCTGTTCCCTG